GAGCAAAAATGCTTTAGGAAAAATCTTTTTTACTGCCTAAAAGCTTGTTCGATGCTGTAAAAAACTGACTCTGGAAAGTTTTCATTTAGAGAAATAGTTTCGCTAGAAATTAGAGTTTTCTCGGCGGTACTGGAAAAAAAGGGTCTTTTTATGTAACAGCGTTACGCGATAATAAAACCTTTCTAGACGTTGGAGACTTCAACCGAAAAAGGTCGTTCTTATAGCATAAATAGAGTTTGATAAGCTGTGTCGAATGGCGTTTGAATGAACTTTCTAGCTGTTAAATCTTCCGAGTTAATTGAAGAACAGTGTGTCAAAAACGTAACAGCGTTACGTTTGGACAAGCCGATAAACCAAAAATGGACCATGTTACTACTATAGGGTAGACAGACAATAATCAAAGATACATTTCATGTTTGTATTATAAACCTTATCATACTGGAAGTTGAAACAATATTTTGTATAGATAAAATTTCTTTCGTATATATACAACTTCTTACAGATAAATAATTGTTCATTTGACAATATGTGTCAAAAACATACATATTGTTATATATTCAGCTCTTTCTTTTGTGAAACACCATCCAAAATGAATGTTAAAATATAGAAGTAGGAATATCGATCCCCTCATAGAAATAATAGACGTGTTAAAAATGATTCATCACAGACTGATTACTAACGACTAATTACAGACCGCGAGAGGCACATGAAAAACAAATCATCATAGCTCGTGACTGGCGTAACTATCAGAAGGTCGCAGACCGTGACAGACCTTGATGTACAATTACAGAGTATATGTATATCAATAGTTTATCGTGATGATGTATGAATCACTTCCTTTTTGCATTTCTGGATAATTAAATAAAACAACGATGAAGAAATATGTCCTAAAATAAGTAGAATAAAACAATCTTCGTGTGATTAGTAATATCGGCTACATTGTATTTCACATTTTAAACTCACAGAGATGCACTAACAGCATTTTCTATTATTCCAATACCATGGGATATAAGCTGCTTTTGTCCAATCAATACTCTTGTGACAGAAAAAAAGACAGCGCTTTTTATATTGTTCCATTCATATTTTTTACTACATGGTTACTCGAATAACTAAAATTATCCTAAACTACAATCAGTACACCAGATGGGTTTGATCTTTAGAGTTCGTCGAATCCAAACTTGTTGGACTTGGGTCCGATCGAGCCGAACTTTGATATTCAACGAAACTTTCTAATCCTAGATTGAATAGTCGACACGAAGATAAGAAATAGTTTGTCAGATTTTTTAATATTTGGTGACTGACGCACATTACGCATTTCTCAGACGACTAGGACGCCTCGTGTCCAAAATTTTCAGATTCGGTTAACAGAAAACTCCTAGATCTGAATTCGACTGGTTCAGAATCCATTCGATGTACTCTACTGACTATAGTATTCAAATATTAGAGAAGACGCTCTTCTGGAACCGTTACGTACGGTAGAGGGTTAATTTAACAATAAAGTTTGTAAGAAAAAAAAAAAAGAAACGAAAATCTTTTTCTTTAGGTACAATTCGAGAAAAAGAACGTGAACTTATTGTTGCATTACAATCTCAACATCAACCAAATAATTGTATATTTAATGGTCATCCTCATTCACATTGTTCAACATCATCTGGACACTCATCACCAACACATCAATTAATTGATACAAATAATAATCCAACAACAACAATGACTTCATCATGTTCAACAGTTATGTTTTATCCTCCGACTGCTGTTACACCACCACCATTACAAAATGCTACATCTATTCTCGATCCTAATGCTCAAGATTTTTGCTTACCAACACATTCGACAAGCAACAATTAGACGAAAAATAAAAAAATGAATACAAAAATTTATTATTTAAATATATAGTGAGATTTAAGAAAAAAAAACGATGACAACGGCCATTTTTATTTTTAGATCATCATAACATACATAGCATTTTCTTTCTTTTTTCTTGTTTTCGTAAACGTATATCCGAAATCTTTCTTTCTTTTTATTTCTTCTTTGTTTTTTTTGATCGATATTTTCCCTATTCGTATGCGTGTATTTGTTTATTTGTGTGTGTACATTGTTTATTTTCCTCTTCTATCTAATACAGATTCAAACCATACCCTTTTTCTATATATTAACATCATTATCAAATGTCTCATTTGGTCTCTTTTCTACATGTATTTTTGTCGATTCTTTCCCTTCTATGTATATGAAACATCATCATCATCATGGTTGTTGTCGTTTGTTTTGTTTGCATATACAAGAAAACATTAAAATAATTGACCATATTGATGGTGGACTATGATTTGATTGGTTTTTCTGTTTTATTCATCAGAAATGAAACGTTATTATTTGAAGTTTTTTCTAGTTTGAAATAGATATGAAAGAAGCACGAATAGTTTTCGTCATGATTACGATAAAAGAAAAGAAACTGTAGCACCTGCCAGAGAAAGATTCAGTCATGTTCAAAAGGTATAGTGAAATTTTATGTCAGTATAAAGTTTAGAATTATTCTTTTACAATCGTTTATCAGTTGAAAACACCTATTATTCTCCTCATTGAACGTTTAATTACATATAAACAAGATAAATTTTTCTAGTTTCGATTCCAATCAGAGTAAAGTTAACTGTTGATTTTGATCTCAGCTCTTTTGATATTCGGGAGGAAATCACTCATGTCTAAAAGAAAAGATTATAAATTTATTTAAAAAAGAAAAAAAAAAAACTTTACTGTTCATTTAAGAAAATTTTCATTTAATGTATATTTAATTTTTAACTTTAGTTTTAGAGCTAATACGAAAATGGTTAATCGTAAAATAAAATTATTAATACCAAAAGAACGTAGTGAATTAATTCCAATATTTTTTGTCATAGCTCTTATTAGTATATATGTTACATTTGAATTATATGTTATCTTACCAGCTATTTATAATAATATATTTACTTATAAAGAAGTTTGTCATCTTATATTTGGTCTTTATGTTATTTTTAATTTAGTTGGAAATTTATTTTTATGTATGGCTACTGATACGTCTATAGATACAATTATATGTCCTGTTTTATTACCACCACCAACTGTTACAACAACAAATACTCAACAGGATATGATTTTTCAATATTGTAATTGGCATTATTGTTATCAATGTGAAGTTAATGTTCCACCACGTTCTCAACATTGTCATTTATGTAAAAAATGTATTTTAAAACGTGATCATCATTGTTCATTTCTTGGTCGATGTATTGGTTTTAGAAATATTCGTTATTATATGTGTTTTCTTATTTGGACATGGGTAAATTAATAGATTACATAAATTAAAATAGAATTTTTTTTCTTTTTTAAATTAAGATTGGTTTATTCTACTGTAATATTCTTCACGTGGATTATACTTATGAACTTGTTGGAACATTTTCATGGCGTGTTATTGTTGGTAAGTTGAATTTCGTATTTATCATACTTAATTATGTAAAAGATAAGTTAAAATTAAGGGTTAAATTGAAGTGCTTAAAAAAAGATAGAAAAGAATAGCAAACTATATGTTATTTTGGTTATTAAGGATGTAACCTATTTATAGATTACTTATATATATATCCTCATACAGAAGAAATTAGGAGAGTTTCTCATAAGAATATTGTAGACAACAGATGGGAATATTTTCTAGTTTTCATAGATGTTTTTGATAGTATGATATTTATCAATCGATATTTGATTGTCTATTATAGCATGCCTTTTTCCATTTGGTGCGTGGTTATTTCGTATTCTTGATCATTTTTCTCTTTTACTTTCATTTATTTGTTCAACCTCAATTGTACTAAGTCTTTATGTCTTATTTTTAATTATTCAACAAATATATCTTATTATTAATGGACAAACATGGCATGAATATGGCAAAAATATTCAAATATATAGTCGTCAAAAAAATTTACAAGCAAATTTGGAAGTTGTTTTTGGTAAACGATGGCATTTTATGTTATTTTCACCATTAATATCATCATCACCAATTGGTGATGGAATGTCATTTGATATAAAAATGACTGAAACGGGTGATTCACGACGTTTTGAAGCGAAACGAATTTAACTTCTCTTTTTTTTTTTTTTTTGCTGTTGCTGTATTCAATCATTATGTGTGATAGCTTTCTGTTCGTTTTTTTTGCTGATTATTGTCTGATTCATAGATCAAAAGAACAACAACAAAATTTTTTTTCAGATGTATCTTTCTAGTTCACAACGTGTTGTTGGTACTGATGGTAGTGATTATCAACATCGTGAATGTATTGCTCCACATTATCGTACTAGTGCAGAAACAAAATCTCGTTTTCGTATATTAATTTATTTTCATTTTCTACTTGCTTTTCTTGTTCTTTTTCATATTCTAACTTATCATATGTCACTATCAGCATTAAATGTACCACGTCCACATTTATGGCAATATATATGGCTCAATAGTATCTTAGCATCAATATGTGGTCTATTATCAATAAATAAAAATCATGTTTTTTTAATGAAAATATTTTTTCATGGTACAGTTCTATTTGGTTTAGGTACAATAGTGACAACGATCATACTTAATTTAAGTGAATTGTTTACATTTAAAAAATTAAAAAATAATCATAAATTAGATGAAATTGAACCACAAACATTTCTTGGTTTTCCATTATTAGTACTATGGTATATATTTTTAGTAATAACCGTGCAAATTCATGCGTTTAGTTTATATATGGCAAATGTTCTATTATGTAGTTGGCAACAACATAAAAGTACGAAACTTAACTAGTCATATTTTCGAGTCATTTTAATAATTGATTACAAAGAAAAACAAGCGATAAAGACAACGAATCCTGTGTGTGTGCAATCCTTGTTTGTTTGTTTGTTTTGTTTGGGTTTTAATCTCATTTATTAATAAAGGATAAGTTTTATCATCTGAGAAAAGATAAATAAACAAGAAAAAAAACACAAAACGAAGAAATATTTATATTTTAGACAGAATGTTGTTTGTTTTACTTTTGCTTCTTTTTCAATCTTGTTATTCATTGATTGATAAAAATAATGAACAGTGTACGAAAGATTCTTGTTCATCGTTAATATCTTCGACATATTATCTTTTGTATGATGTCAATCATGGAGAAGGTTTTAATTTACGTCGAGATGTTTATATAAGAATGGCTAATCTTATACATACACTTCGTGAACGTACATTATCAGAATCAAATTGGATTCTTGTTCTTCCACCGTGGGGTCCTCTTTATCATTGGTTTTCTCACAATCTTCAACGAACTCAATTAAAATGGTCAAATTTTTTTGATATAACAAGTCTTTCACGTTTTATACCTGTTATTGAATTTGAAGATTTTCTTCACTTATCATCGTCAGCTTCCATGATAACTATTCCATATGTTTATAAGTTACAGCATTTTAGCGAAGGATGGGGAGAACATTTCGAAGAAAAATTAGAAATACGTAAATGTAATGAAGAAGCTATGTATGAAAAAAGAAATGATAATTATTATTATGGATGGTTTTTTGGTTATCAAGATCGTATACGTGCTAAACAATTTGAATGTCTATCGGCTCAAGGTTTTGTTACTGTACTTGTAGATTATTTACTGAAAAATATAACATGGTCACAAGATACACATGATAAAAATTTAATAAAAAGTATTATGTTTGATCGAGCTGAAACACTATTACATGTGGATTATGGTGGTTATAATTATTGGCGAGCACGACGTAGTATGAGATATGCAATACACTTAATAGATCTTGGTGAGAATTGTACTGTGCTATTTTGAAAAACTTACATAAGCTTTTTGAAGAAAATAGTGATTTTGAAGTCAAATGTTTACAGCTCTCCTCCTGTCCCCTCCTCACTACAGACCTTAGCAATTGGGTTAGTCATTGATTATGTTTCCATAGTGATCGATTACAATGGGCACCCTACTTTGGAAAACAATCAGTATTAGTATTTTTCGAGGTGATCAAGATATAAAATAGTGTATTGAGACCTACTGTAGATATAATGAATACGTACAACAGGATTATTTGTCAGTTACATCAATAGCCAAAATAACAATAATGTTAAATTGACAAAATCTAAATACGAAAAAAAAGTAACGAACGAATAGCAATAAGACAAACAAGAAATACAGTTCCAGTCAAGAAAAAAAATCAATTGGAAATGCAGAAATAAATTAGACAGATCTTTTTTCTCGTGATCATTTATCTTGGAAAACAACTTTAGTCTAGGAGAGATTTTTCGCTTTATGCATTTTCTATTTGTATATTGGGACTAAAAAAACACATGTGAGTTTCATATTTGAGATTGTAAAGGTGCTGAGCTAACAAACTGTTTCTCTTTTGAAAGACATGAAAGGTTTTTTGAAGTACAATCTAAAAGGAGTCTTAACGTATATAGTACATAATGCGATAGATGTTGCTGATATACGATCAAAGATCGTCCATCAATAGTGTCTTATAATAAAATATGAAATACTTTCTTCTTGAATATGTGGAGGATTAAGTAAAAGGATGAAGAAGACACGTGCTCTAAAATAGATTAAATAAAACAATCTTCTCGTGACTAGCAAGAGCAGTTTCATCGTATTTCAAGTTTTAAGCCCGTAGGAATTGCATAAAAAGTTTTTCCAGCATTGATTATTCTTTTTCAGGTAATCGTTTTCGTGCTGATTATTTAAATTCGACGGATGTATATGATCGAACTGTACTTGTTGATGATTGGACTAAAATGAAACGTCATCATGGACAAGCAATAGGTGGTCCTTATCTTGGTATTCATCTTCGTCGTCTTGATTATGTTAAAGCACGACCGGGACATGTTCCATCTCTTGAACATGCTGCTCGACAAGTGTGTTATCAGCTAAATCGTTTAAATTTGTCACTTGTTTTTATTGCAACAGATACCGATGAAAATGAAATTAATATACTTCGTCAACATGCTTATCGAATATGTAATATATCCATCAATCAGATATATACTTATAGACCAAATGAAGCAATTTTAGAGAAAATATTAGATGGTGGTAAAGCCATTGTTGATCAATGGATATGTGCACATGCACGTTATTTTATTGGTAGTTATGAATCAACATTTAGTTTTCGAATACAAGAAGATAGAGAAATATTTGGTTTTGAAAAAGATTCAACTTTTAATCAATTATGTGGTGATCATGAAGGTATTTCATGTGAAAAATCAACTATATGGTCAATAGTTTATTAAAAATTTATTATACTGTTTTCTCAATGCTCTGTTCTGTTAATTGGTTTTGGTTTTTTCCTAAATTTTTATGCATGTATGTGAAATCTCATTTCGACAGATAACTTTTGTTTATTGTCAATCACTACTTACTGGAATGAAAAAAAAAATGAATCATAAATAAGACTGTCAAATAGGAATGCTAGTGCGCACATCTCCTACATTGATAGAGGGGAAAAAGAACGCACAAAAAGTATTATAGAGTATTTATCAACGTGTAAGGTGTGCACAATGACACATTTCTGTTTTTTGTTATTAAAATAAACGTGTTTTTTACTAAAGGGTGAAGCAAAAACATATATAAATGCGTACGTTTAGATGATTTATCTCCCTTTTCTTTATAGATTTTCCTAACACCTAAATATGGAACTATTCTCATTTGTGTTCACATCTTTTGATATGGCTACTTCTATTGTTTTATTAATAATAACAATAATTGGAGTTTATTGGTTTTGGTTTAAGCCACGTGGATCTTCCTTCTCTAAACCAAGCGATGTAAAAGACACATTAAGAAATTTCAAAATGTAAGATTGAATATTTTTTTCCGGAATTTAATTATTTACATTTGATAGAGATAATGGAACTGGCAAAATGGCAGGAACAGCTCATGAGGGTAGTTTTGTGGATCGTATGCTACATTCTAACAAACAAATGGTTGTATTTTACGGTTCACAAACAGGTACAGCAGAAGATTTTGCTCAACGTATTGCTAAACAAGCTAAACGTTATGGAATATCTGCGGCTGTATGTGATCCAGAAGAATGTGATATGGTTTGTTATTGAAGTTTTTCATATACAACTCTTCTTTATGACTTTGATTTTAATATAATTAGGAAGAATTACAACGTTTAATAGCCATTGATAAACATTTAGCATTATTTTGTTTGGCGACATATGGTGAAGGTGATCCAACAGATAATGCTCAAGAATTTTATGAATGGTTGCGTGAAGATGGACGAGATTTGAACAACTTACATTATGCTGTAATATTGATTCATTTAAAAATATACAAAAAACAAAAATCATTTTGATTTTATTTTAAGGTATTCGGTCTTGGTAATAAAACATACGAACATTATAATGCTGTAGGAAAATATGTTGATAAACGTTTGAGTGAATTGGGTGGTGTTCGTGTTTGTGAATTAGGTCTTGGCGATGATGATGGAAAGTATGTGTGAAAATTTTTTTATTAAATTTATATTTCGTTGTTTTTGTTTTAGTATTGAGGATGATTTTATGGCATGGGCAACTATATTTTGGCAAAGTGTTTGTCAAAAATATGAACTTGTTATTAATGCTGATGGAAGCTCGTATGTTTTTCGTTCTATTTTATTTTGATACTTATGTATGTATATATGTCTTTATTAGCATGAGACAGTATAAACTTGTTCAAGGACCATTTTCACCAGAAACTGTTTTCACTGGTGAAATAGGTCGACTGAAATCTTATGAAAAACAAAAACCGTATGTTTATTGAAAAACAAAAACACGAAAGAAAATTATTTTATTTTGTAATAGACCATTTGATATTCGTAATCCATATTTGGCACCAGTTGTTGCTAGTCGAGAATTATTTCAAAAAGGTTGTGCTCGTTCTTGTTTGCATCTAGAATTAGATATATCAAATACACGTATAAAGTAAATGATATAAATATAAATATTATCTCTTTGAGATTAACATCAAAGTGAAATTGTTTTTATTAGATATGAAGCCGGTGATCATGTTGCTGTATTTCCATCAAATGATGAAGCTTTAGTTAATCGTGTTGGTGAATTACTGAATGCTAATCTTGATGAAGTCATTTCACTTGTTAATGTAGACGGCAAGTATTCATTACTATTGATTTTTTCTTTTTTTTTAATAAGAATTTCTCTATTTTCTTCTAGAGGATGCTCAAAAGAAAAGTCCATTTCCATGCCCATGCAGTTATCGTACAGCATTAACATATTATTTAGATTTAACAAGCATGCCAAATACACAAATACTTAAAGAAATAGCACAATATGCAACAGATGAAAAAGAAAAAGCTCTATTAACACTAATGGGTTCATATAGTGAAGAAGGAAAAGTAAAAAAACACGCTTACTCTTAATAGTTCTGTCTTTTCTATATATATATTAATTCAATTAGATTAAATATAAAGAATGGATACTTGATAGTTATCGTTCAATAGTTGCTATTCTTGAAGATTTACGATCATTAGAACTACCACTTGATCATCTTTGTGAATTATTACCACGTTTACATCCACGTTATTATTCAATATCATCATCACCAAAAGTTCATCCAACATGTGTTCATATAACAGCTGTTATTGTTCATTTTGAAACACCAACAAAACGAATTGCAAAAGGCGTTGCAACAAATTGTTTTAAAGAATTATATACGAGACATCAAGCATTAGGTTATGTTCAACATAATGAAGAAAATCATTGTCATATACCTGGCCGTTTTCCAATTTATATACGTAAATCAACATTTCGTTTACCATTTAAATTTCAAATACCAGTTATTATGATTGGTATGAAATAAAATATCTTTTCAATCGATTAAATTCTTTGTCTTGTTTTTTTTTAAATTTTCATATAGGTCCTGGAACTGGTTTAGCACCATTTCGTGGATTTATACAAGAACGCCATTTTTATAAAACTCAAGATAAACCAGTGGGTGATACAATTCTTTATTATGGTTGTCGAAATCGAACTGAAGATTATTTATATGAAGAAGAATTAAATTATTTTATCAATGAAAATGTACTTGAATTACATATTGCTTTTTCACGTGATCAAGAAGAAAAAATCTATGTAACACATTTATTAAAAGAGCACGGAGCAAGAATATGGAAATTAATTAAAGAAGATAATGCTTCAATATATGTTTGTGGGTAAGAAAAATTTTATATTAATTGAAATTTATTTATTTAAATTAATTTAATTTAATTTATTTAGTGATGCAAAAAATATGGCTAGAGATGTACATTCTATTTTAATAGAAATCGCTCAAGCATATGGTAATATGACATCAGAACGAGCAGGTACATTCGTTAAAGAGCTTACACAAAAAGGACGATATTCACAAGATGTATGGAGTTAAATGATACTGGCATAGATGAATTTGATTTGATGCATATGTTCATGTGATGATACAACAGACTCATTTTTTTAAAGTGAACTTCCCAAGCAGACAAAAATTTCAAAAAACGCGTTTAAACGCACAATCGGGAACCACGACTGTGATCCATTCACGCTCATTAAAAAAACGCAAGAAACGACGTTTTTTGTGCAAAATAGTCAATTTTCAAGCGTGAAAACGGCAAAAATATAAAAAACTGAGCGTTTAAACACGTCATTTTTTAAATCTAGAAAAAGAGA